CATACTTAGTTCCAACCTTCTTTAGGCAGTGATTTTTTATTTACCTGTAGTAGACAGATGACTTATGATGGATCCCAGGTTCTTATGTGACCTAGTAGAGTCTAGATCATGTTATTTCAGTATGATACCTTCTAACAGTCATGTCTAATTAAAAGAATTTTACTGATATACATCTTCCATTATCCAAAAGGCCAGATTTCCCAATAATCCTTTTGCCTTGTAATGGTGAGAGATTCACAAGAGTGATAGAGATTCTCATTGATTGTGATATTTTTCAACAACTTCTGGAGAAATACATTCTCAACTGTAACCAAAGAGTTGGAACTTAGCATGGACTAGAGACCATTCAGTCTTATTACCTAACCGGGATAAGAGGGAGACCTTGGTCTTGAACTTTGTCTAACTGAAATGATAGAAGAGAAAGACCTCAGTTTGAACAAATAGTAGCTTTTTCACCACCTGAGAACTTGTTGCTTATATCTTATTGGCCTCATAGTACTTGATCAGTAGGTTAAACCAATTGAAGGAGTGGAGTGGATGTGGGGCACCAATCAACTCTTTCTATCACCAATAATGTCATCTGAATACATAAGGTGACCAATAAAAACTTGTTTATATTCTATTATTAACATGTTTTGTGCCAACCAATCAGACGCCAGGTAACATTGTGCTACCAAAAATTCAGTGTCAAATTGAGGTAGGCAAAATTTCCCAAGAAAACTGTAAAAAATAGTAGGTACTTTAAGAGGGTATAAGACAGTATGTGAGAAGGTGAATAATAAGCCTTCCCCTGTCAACAAAATCTCTATTGTTATCGCTTCTAGCTCTGTAAGGTGACATTCCACTTGTCAGTTCTTTTACTTCCTAGAACATTCTTGCCCTTAGTAGAGAAAGTGCGTACTTAAGTCTTTTCAGGTCACTAGAGGCTCAAGTTTTTATTCAAAGGAGTTTATAAACAAGTAAGGGAAGGTAAGAGAGATACATGAAGACAAGCTTCAGGTTGTTTTAATGAAAGTGTAAAGACTTTATTAGCAAAGAAATATAAAACTTCTTGCAAACATCTTTTTTTGTATGTGGTCAGAGGATCAGCGGAAAGAGTTTTTTTTTAGTATACACTTTTCTATTTATTGATTTGTTTGTTAAACTTTGTATATATTTTTTGAGAAGAATTGTATAGTTATTGTTTTCTTGTTAGTATTGCCAAGTTAAGTTTGATATGTCTTGCTTTTTATTATAAAAAATATTTTTTAAAAAAAAGATATTAGTAAAAAGGATTTTTCTTACTTTTGTTTATTTTAAAAACTTTTATTTATATTTTAATAACTTTATAAAACTTGATATATAGACTAATCCAATTGAATGAATAGAATAAAAATGAAATATTAATTAACTTTTTTCATTATCAATAATGTTATTAAAGTACAGTATATAATGTAATTAGTAAAAGCTTGTTTATATTTTATTATCAATATATTTTATATAATCAGTATTTTAAAATTTAGAATTAAATTGATATAAGCATAGGAGCAAGTAAGTCATATTTCAAGATGTTTGCTCACTATATCTTCCCTTTTATATTTGCCCAAAATTTTTTTGATTTTTTGAGGAATTTTGCTTAACTCAGTTTGACCTTAAATTTTAGGTGATACAATTCATTACAAAATATAATTGATGGACATGAAACACATTAGTAGCTAAATATAAACAAGTCTTTACTAATCACTTTATATGTTCCAATGATGTCATTGATGAAAGAAAGAGAATCTATTGATGTGAATTTTTTACTTATTCAAATGAAGTGTAGCTGAAACAAAAAAATCATGAGGCCATTAGAATTGATACTAAATTTCCTAGGTGGTAAAAATATGATTATTTGTTCAAGCTGAGGTCCTCAACTTCTTATCATCCTGATCAGATAAAGTATATAAAAAAGATAATTTCCTTATCCCGATTAAACAATAAGACTGAAAAGCAGAAAACTGTAAGTCACAACCCTTCTCTAGGATTAAGAATGTATTTTTTCAAACATTATATAATAATATTATAATTGATGAGGATCCCCATACTCTGCAAGACCCTTTCACTATTACAAGACAAAAAGATTGTTAGGAAATCTAACTTTTTAAGCAATGGAAGATACTCAACAATAAAATTTCTTTAACTAGGCATGGCTGCTAAAAGATATTAGTAGTTATACAATATAATTGAAAGGTTATATAAGAACCTGGAATTTACTATAAGTCATTAAGATCTGCACAAGTAAATAAAAAATCAATATCGAAAGAAAGAAAGCGACAAGCAAGACACTAGATCTGAGTAGGATATAAGTACCTCAAATAGATACAAGAAAATAATCAAGATCACAAATGAATAAGTTTCTCAGATAGTCAGAAAGAAAAGGAATATCTCAAAAAAGTTGATTCCTAATGAGAGGAGGTTTCTAGTAGAGGTTCTTTGGAGGACATAAAGCACTTTTATTTTTCTTTTTTCTTTTTTTTTTTATATAAACACATTTATGTATTTTTAGATATTCTTTTTCTTTTTCCTTTTCCCTATTGTGGTTTCTTAAAATCAGTTTCTTAAAGGATAATAGATAGTGACAACCTATTGGCAATGATGAATAAGTTAGGAAGATCTTTATTCAAAACTTATTCTAGAGCAAAATATTGTTTCCAAGGTTACACTTAAAGGCTTAAGCTCATTTGAGAATTAAAAACTATTGACAACTGAGCAATATAAGATTTAGTTTGACTATAATATAATTGTCCAATATATCTTTATTAGTTTTCTTCAATATTAATAAACATATAATGCTGGTCTAACCATGGATTTAAAAAAAAATAAAAATAAAAATAAAATAAAAAAAAATAAATAAAAATAAAATTCTTCAGCCTTTTCCAAAGACTTGCTTCTTAAGATCTCTTTTAATAAGAAATACCTAATTGGGATATTCTTTCTTTTTTTGACTATTTAAAGGACTTATCTATTCTTAATCTTGATTTTCTTTTCATATACTATTTGAAAAAACTTATTATATATTTAGTAAAATTCTTTATTTCTAGTATCATACTTGGTTTTAATCTTCTTTAGATAATAATTTTGTATTCATCTATGATAAATAGACAACTTATAATAGATTTTAAGTTTTTATATAATCTAGTAAGAATTGAATCATATTATTTCAATATGATATCATCTAATAATCATGTCAAATTAAAGAAATTTTATTAATAAATATTTTCTATTATTTAAAAAATTAGATTTACAACAATCTTTTTGTCTTATAATAATGAAAGAATATTATAGATAAATAGAAATTTTTATTAATTACAATATTCCTTAACAATTTTTGAAGAAATATATTTTTAATTATAATCAAAATATTGAAACTTAATATAATCTAAAAACTATTTAATTTTATTGTTTAACTAGAATAAAAGAAAAATCTTGATTCTAAACTTTGTTTGAATAAGATAATAAAAGAGAAAGACTTTAGTTAAACGAATAGCAACTTTTTTCTTACTTGGGAACTTGTTGTTTATCTTTATAGAACTTGATTTGTAGGTTAATTTAATTAAAAAAGTAAAATATCAATCAACTTTTTCTATTACTAATGCTATTATTAGAAAATGTAAAATAATTAATAAGAGCTTATTTATATTTAGCAAATAGTATGTTTCATATTTACTAATTATATTTTGTAATAGATTTTATTATTCAAAATTCAGGATTAAATTGAAATAGATCAAATTTTTCAGAAATTTAAAATATAAATGATTATAAAAAAAAAAACCCATGATGAATAAACATTTTGATAATATTTGTTATTTTTTACTACAAAAATTCTTTATAGATATATTTCAAAAGATTTTAAGTACTATACCATTGGTTTTTTTTTTTTATAGTACTTTCTTACCATAAGTAGAAAAGGTGTTTTTTGACTTTTTTAGATTACTAAAAGTCAAGTTTTTACTTGAAAACAAATATAAACAAGGGAGAAATATAGAAATAACTCTTGAAATAAAACTTCAAATTGATTTAAAGATAATGTTAAAACTTTATTAACAAAAAAATATAAAATTTCTTGTAAATATCTTTTTTATATGTGATCAAAAAATCAGCAAAAAAAGTTTATTAAAGAAATTATATTATTAAATTAATAAATTATTTGCTTTTTGATAAATAATATATAAGTGACAATATATTAAATAATTTTTTTTCAATTAGTAACTAATAATATATAATGTTAAGTTAATCATTATATAAAAAGTTTATAATCTAATAAATATTTATTCAATATCTCAATAAAGACATACTATATATAATAGCATAATTGTAGGTAAAAAAAAAAAATAAGTTTTTTTAATAATTAAAAAATAAATATATTTCTATAGAAATATCAATTTATTAAAAAAGTTTTCAAGAAATACTAGATCTAGAATATTAAAATTTTATTTTTTTTATATAATTTCTTATTTTGTTTAGTGGCATAAAAATTATTAATTAACAATTAACTAGCAATAATATGAATTATTAAAAAGATATTTATCAAAAGTACTTATGGAATACTATATTGATTTTATAATCAAACTTAAAACAAGTTTGTTGATAAAAGATTTAATATAACTTAAATCCTACATGTATTAAATCGTCTATTGATATATAAATGCATTGGTTATTGCAAAAAAAAAAAAAAAGGACATGTACTTAATTACGTGCGGATATTAATCGCCGGTTACAAATAATCTCTTTCTATGTTTGCATGTTGTTTGTACGGATTTAATAAAGTAAAACCGAAATTCAAAGACTTTCATATATATGATAACAGTATGCATATTAATATATGAATAAACTTTGGAATTAAATATGCTATACTCAGATTTCAACTTTCAGTTAGTTATCACTTTTGAACATGTTTCGTTTTTGTATTGACATATACATTAAGCATCTTTCCTTTTATTAACGTAATTCGTCAAAATTATGAAAAAATCCTTGATAAGTTATATTTGCACCTCATTCGTGTTTGCGATTCTTACTCGAATGTTTGCGAATGCGATTTTGTCCGCGACGGTCTTTTTCATGTCGCCTAGGGGATCGAGAATGAGAGCTTGACCGCAATTTCGATCGGTCACGATGCCTATGTTCTTCGCCATTAAGTTTGGATGTGGATCTCTGAGAGCGTCCTTTATAATGAATACGCGTTCGACTTTTATCCTGATCAGACGGATGGTTGGAATGATTCTTATCACGACTAGATGATCGTGCACGTTTTATAGTGCTAGAAGAATCCGAGGATATGTTTTTTGATCTATTATCTATCGGCGTAACAATTTGATGCTTTTTTTCGGAAATATCTATTATAGAATCTATGTCACTAAAAAATTAAAATGTTGACTACATATTATTAATAATTTTCAAACCGGAAGGTTTCTTCGGAAAATATTCTAGGTCTTTGTCAGCTTCGGCATATAAATTTCCTGGGTTTTTATAGACATGCAGGAAGTTGCACTGAATCCCCTTCGGGCACTTATTTCTTTCATAATATCCTTCAATCAATATATAATTCGAAATAAGTTCATATAATATTTACCATTTCTAGAGTTTTTTTATTTAGATTTTCAGCTCACCGCATATGGCAGACTTCCATTTTGTGACCGGACAGTATTCACAAACCAGTTGTTTTCCAGCGTACCATCGTCCTCTGGTAGCGTTCATAGCTCTCTCGGCTTCTTCAACCCTTGAATATTGGATGTACACATTACCACGTAGATGTATCTGGAAATTATTGCAAACCTAATTTTTTAAAAAATGTAATAATACACATTATCAAATTAGCTTGGATAAACAATTAATACATTATATTATTAAGTTACCTTAAATTGTATAATAGTTCCGTATTGGCTAAATTCAGAATGCACGTCCTCAAAAAACTCATTATAGTGACGTTCAGCTTCTATTTCGTCAAACTAAAAATCAAATAAAGATCAAATAAAAAAAATTCATCCCGAATAGAATTGTTTTCCCATAATGTATGTCAAGGACTTCTTGTAAAATTTAATGCATATAATTATGGATCTAAATTTTTGAGGATATATCTTCGACAAAAAAAAAAACCATATAGGAAGAAAGATACAAGAAAGCAGGCATGGTTGTTGTCGACCGTTAAACGGCTGTATATATATCGTCTTTAATTGTGAAATTCCCTATCATTACAGTTTCCTTGCGTATACGAAAAGACAATCGCGTCTTTTTTAAAGATATTAACATAGAAACGTACCTCCAAATTGTCATCATTATCTTCGTCTGCCAATTGAACTGGCATGCCTTCGTACATATTCTTAATCAGAATGGTAGCACTTTTATCGGGATATGAATGATGCCGACCACATGAGTCACCAAATCGACATGCCCCTGTTTTAAGATAAAATGGACAATTGACTTGGTCCTGATATGAAAACAGGGATTATGTGTTGTCAAAAATAAAAATAAAAATAAAAAGTTCTAATTTCTATCGTATAGATGTTTTTAACGTTTCTATTCAAAATAACGTCAGCATATAGTAGGATACGCTACTTTCTCGGTTCCGTAATCTGACTTCGTCGTCAACTCCTCATGAGAAGATATAGTTGAATATGGTATTGAAGTACCCTATAGATTGTAATGAGTGAGGAGATTTGTCAAAAATGTCAAATCGAAAAACTATTTATCCCATACCAGTGTGTTCGATTGACCTTCTGAGATCTCATTAAACGTGAGATTAGCTTTAGGAATTTTTTGTGTTCGTATGTTCTTGACTGTTTTTTCCCAATTTTCCTGTAAGATCAAAAGTGTTAATTTTTCATTGAAGATCAATTAAGATACATTTAAATCAGGTGTTCTACCTGAATTATTTTTTTTCTTCTCTCCTCTTCATCTTGTTTTTTTCTTTTTTCAGCATTCGCTTGATCAATTTGCCTTTCACGAACCTCCCATAAGATTCTTTCTGCATTTCTAGGTATATTGATTTGATAATAGCTTAATAAATTATGTAATTATATTTCTATTAACCTTAAAATAAATAACCTTTTTCTCTCTTCTGCTTCATCAGTTTCATTGATTTCCTTAGTGTCTTACAAAAGGTAATATAGGAAGTAATCAGTACAATGAACTATCTAGAAATTCCATAGAATTAAGTACCTCGATCAAATTCCTGTTGTTCCCTTAATTTTGCGGATTCTATTCTCGCCATCTTTTTGCGTTGTTTTTTTTTGAATTTACGCCACTCCTTGCGAGGCAGTCGCGTAATTGCAACTTCCATATTCGTGTTTTCTGAAACAACGGAAAAAGCCTCACACGTCAAAGTAACACTCTCTACAACTTCATTATTATGTACTAGTTGAGATGATTCTTCGGTTTGCCCCTTTTGATAAGCGGGTATATTATTTGGAAAAGGTTCCGCGTGCATAAGTAATCTTGTTATTCTAGCTCGTTATTGTAATATACTACCATACGGCGTAACTAATGCGTGACGTAACATTCATGTTATTTTGCCTAGTTCAAAAGGTCACGTGAATGTGAATCTTAATAGTGAGAGAAAAAAATTGCTATAGTATCAATTTTTTTTGTCAAATTTTTTGTTGCTGTATCAATTTTTTTGTCAAATTTTTTACCACAGTATGCAAAAAAAATTTTTTTGCCACAGTATACAAAAATTATTGCAGTATGCTAAAATTTTTTTGTTGATTTTTTATCAATATTTTTTATATTAAGTGATAGTAATTATAAATGATTCATTAATCTTTTTATTATTACATTTTGCCAAATTTGATAATAATTCAGCAGCTAAAAACATAATTTCAACTAGTAATAAGTAAAGATAGATTTTTAAAGAAAAAGATAGGAACAAAAATCAAATATCCTTTACTAAAAAACATTAAAATTTTTAAATTAATAATTATAAAAAAACTATCCAAAATTGTTTTTCATTATTCCAATCATTGATTTATAGTATTTTCTGACTTTTGTTTCTATTAAAATGAAGAGCTATGAATTTTGTTCCTTAAAAAAAAAACATAAGTAATTTATAAAATTTTATATATAAATACTTTAAGGACCAATTATTAGTGATAAAAGTATATATTAAAAAATACAAACATATTACTATTAATTTAAAAAATATATCAACTCTTTCCGCTGATCCTCTGATCACACACAAAAAAGATGTTCGCAAGAAGTTTTATACTTCTATGCTAATAAAGTCTTACCACTCTCGTTAAACCATTTCAAAGAGTTGTTTCATATAACTCTCTCACCTTTCCCTCTTTTTTGTTTACAATCTCCTTTGTATAAACTGGACTCTTGTGGCTTGTAAAGTCCAGCCCCTACCTTTATTACTCACGCCAAGAAAGTTCCTAAAGGAAGAAGGACCAATACTGAAGTATCCCTTACTTTTCAGCTATAATGGAGAGAACAAAGGTTTCTGTCTTCAGTCAAGGACTCATCTTTTTTCCTTAGACTGTTGTTCCGCCTCTCAGAGCTACCTTTTTCACGGCTTTCTGGGGAATTTTGGCTACTTCAGTTTGACCCTGAAATTTCGGATAGCACGGATCTCACCAACTCTGATTGGCTAGCGCAAAACACATTGGACCAAATTGATAAACAAGCTCCTATTGGTCACCTTACGTGTCTGAATGTATTTCCTCAGCTCCATAGGAACCTGGGGTCCACCATAAGTCATTGCCTTGTTCGCAGGTGGATATAGGACATGCTCCCTCCTACATCAGTCGAAATTCAAATGAAAGAGTCCATTCAACTATGGAAAAAGTTACAAGACACTTCAATTGTTTTTGGCATTGAAGTCACCTACCCTTAGCAACCAAGCAGGTTCTCGTAGCTCGGGCAGATAGGTAAAGATCTGCTTTCTTTTCTTTTAAATAAAACAAACAAGGTGAACAGGAAGTTTTTCCTAGCCAGTGGGTTTTTTGTTCCTGATCCATGATTTGTGGAAGGACCACAAACTGAAGAACAACACCAAGAATTCCAACACGACTCCCTCTCCAGCAAGGCCTTCTATGGTCACTAGTGGTACCCACCAATCTTACTTCTAGTGAGAGTACTCGAATGGAAACAATTGTCAGATTGGTAGACCCCCTAAAGACTTAGCCTGACTTTGGAAGATTTGCGCCTTCTTAAATAAGCAATGTATGCTTGAAACTGGTACTATTTTTAGAACTAGATCGACAACCCCCCATAGGTTTTAAGATATCCTCCTAGCCGTAGGTCCCGTCCGGTTCTTTGAATGAGTAGTCCCCTAGGCAGAACATGGAGTTCTGAAACTATTCCCCACCCCCTCAAGAAAGACAACCCCTCCCTCTTTCCCTTTCGAAGAGTCAGACACAGTACTCCGGCGGATAATTTGTAGATATTGGTTCTTTTCGTGGTGAAATTCTCAGTGAACGGTCGGTAGAAGTGAAAATTTTAGGTCATCACCTGGCAGCCCCTTTCTGTTCTTTTTTTTTTTAGTTACGCTTTCTTGATAACAACTATAAGGAACACTTTCACTAGCTCGGCCTAGGCAAGTTAGTTCCCTATATGGGAGGCAACAAATCACGGAGGTCCTCATAGGAGATCTGAATCGGAAGGAATCTTTGCATACAAAATTTTAACATACATGCTAGTATCGTTATTAATTTGTAATTAGCTCTAAAGTAGATAATACACATGTAATATCGAGTTTAAAGTTAATAAAAGCCAACCGAAGATTGAACCGATTAAAAAAAAAAAAAAAAAATTTAAAAATATATGAATAACTCTAATAGAAACAAAAATGGCAAGAATAATTTTATCAAAACAGAGTTATCAGATAGGAATATCATGATATTATAATATAATAAAATATTTACTTAACAAGACTTTTCAAAATAAATAAGATATATTCAAGCTTGATTGTCAAAGTAATGGGAGAAATAAAAGCCCAAACTTATTATATATCAAGAGATCTTAATATATTGAAAAAATGTAACTTTATAGTAATAGGTTTCAAAAGTAAAGAAGATCCAAATAAAACTTGCAAATAATATATTTTTTATAAAAATTAAGATTATTATATAATATAAAATATATCAAAAATTAAACAATCTTTTCAAGAAAATACTCTTCCCCTATTGTTTACAAACCTCTTCACTCAAAAACTTGACTTCTAATGATCATGAAAAGTCAAGTAGTACCTTTGATACCAATGACAAGAAAGTTTCCAAAGGAAGAAAAACTGACTGTAAAGTACTTTAAAGTCTTTTTAACCTTTGAAGCGAGAGATTTATAGAGGTTTTCTGCAGTAAAAAGGCTTATTTTCTTCCTTTTTTACTGTCTTGACCTTCTTAGAGCTCCCATGTTTATGGTTTTCTGAAGAATTTTGCCTATCTCAGTTTGACCCTGAATTTTAAGTAGCACAAATCTTCATCAAAGGTGATTGGCTGACATGAAACACATCAGTTTTTGAAATGTAAACAAGCTCCTATTGGTCCACTCACATGTCTCGATACATCATTGGTGATGTAAAAAAGAAAATTCCAGAAAAAGTGTTCCCTTTAATTGTATATGTTCAACCTCCAGAAAACAATTATAATACCGAAAAGCAAGTGATAGATAAAAATAGAAGATCCAACTTCTATCTCTCATTAAGTTCCTCAAGTGGTAAAAGGGCTTTCTTGGACAAAAGCTGAGGTCTCCAAGCTTCTATTCCGGTTAGGCAAAGTTTTTGAAAAGATTTCTTTATTCCAGTTAAGCAAACTCTTCCGTAATATGGCGCTGGCCTCACTAGTGATAAGTAAATCTATATATCAGCAGAAGAATAAGTTTCTCAAACATTCTTCTTGAAATCACTTTTAGGAATAGTTAAGTTTCTCAAATATCATGAAGCTTAGAGATATCTCAATTAGGCAAATCCCTTTCAAGAGAAAACTGTAAAATAGAGCAAGGACCTTTTGGAGGACTTTGAATTTTATCTTTCCTTCCCCTTTACCCAGTGTCAACTTTAGAAATTCATCATTTTTCAGGATAATCTATAGTGACAAACTGTTGACAATGATCCTGGTTAACTTAGAGACACTATTGCCAAGCTACTAGGCGAGTGAAATATTGTCTCCTAAATCTAATTTAGAGTATCTAGTTTAGACTTAGTTTTGTTTAGTTTGAATTAGCTTAGTGGACTCTTCCTATTTTTTAAGTAATGTAGTCCTTTAACTAATAATTTATAACAACAAGTTGGTTGCTTTATAAAAGTCTGTAAAATATTTAGGTATTTCTCAATATCTCAATAAAGACATGCCATTGTAGCATAATTGCAGGTTAAAAAAAAAAAAAAAACAATCTTTTTAAGAAAATCATATATAGAGAAATATAACAAACTAATTAATAAGATATTAGAGAAATTCCAAAAAGAATTATAGAAATTGATAACAATTCGAACTATGATTTGAAATCTACTAATTCAAGAGATCAATAGATAAAGAAAAAAAAAAGAAAAAAAATACAAATAACTAAATTCATAAAAGAATTAATATATAATATCTAGCTATTAGAAACAATAGAATATTAATAAACTTTAAAAAAAAAAGACTAAAACAAAATAGAAAAAACATTGATTGTAACATTAGTAGAAATTACAATAGTATATAGCAAGAACTACTACAATTAATTCTAGATAATCTAAAAGAACTCAACAATAGAATATAAAAATTGAAAACAGAAAACTATCTAGCTCTCAAAATAAGATATAGAAAGGATGCAAATTATTTTTAAAAGATATATTAGTTAAAACAACTTATTTAAAATGTAGTAGGTTCTCATATCTTTCTTTTAATACAATTTTAAAAGAGAATCAAATAATAAGAATAGAAACAATAAGAACAAAGTAATAGCAATGAGAAAAATTAAACTTATTTATAGAAAAACAAAAGACAATATTCAAAAATAAAGATAAAAATAAAATAAGAAAAGAAGAAATAAAGACAGATAATATAAATAATATAGACATAATATAAAGTAAAGTAATTTGAATAGGTTTATAAAACATAAAAGAAATAATAGATATAATAAAACAGTAAATCTTATTAAAAAAAATAGAAAAATAAGAAATAAGTATAATAGGACTAAGTAAAACAAAACTTATTTTTATCAATAACAAATGGGTCTTTAAGAATCAATCCTTCTATAAATATTATTTTAGTATAAATGAGAAAATCTATATGGAATAGAATTAATTTGTTAATAAAAAAAGATCTAAAAAAGAAAATTACATTAATTAAAAAATAGGAAGGATATATAATAGTATTTAACTTCTGGACAAAAAAAAATAAAATCTATATTATACAGATTTATCTATCAAATAACAAGAAAAAAAGTTAGGAGTGTCAAAATAATATCAAAAAATTAATTCAAGAAATATAAAAAAAAAATTTTTATTTG